TATTAGGGAGGAATTTAAGCTAGCTAGGGCCTTCAGGGCAGGCTACTAAAAGGGATGTGGGGGCCTCAGGCACCATCATCTCAACAGAACAGGGATTAAAGGCTTATATACTCTATATAACATATTAGTAATAACTATATTCTATATCTTAAGTAGCCACTACTGCCTAGTCTTTCTGACCTTGTCTTACTATAGTATATTTAATAGCTGCCTATAGCCCGGTGAAAGACTAGCTACTCCCACTAGGAACAAGATCTCGAGCCAGTCTGGCCACAATCCCAAGTGCATCCATCTTATCACTTATCGGTTCCTTAAGCTCCTTGGCTGGCCGATCAAACCGTCGCCACACCTCAATAAACCGCTGCTGCCCCTCATCCAACCCTATTCCACGAAGCACATTGTACATATCATCGTGATTCGCAAGTCGTTCCAAGTCTTCGGCGCTGACAGCCGTAGTAGACGGATGTTGCTTCCCGTGAACAACAGCAAGGTTGACGCAGTGCAATATAAGTGCTGCTAGACCAGCTGCCAACGCCGTAGCTACAGACGAACCGGTGCGTTCCTCAAAGTCATCCGGTAACGCACCCTCTCGGTGCGGATTTCGCGATACTACCTTGTGGCCAGGTAAAATGAAACTCAGATTCTGGGGGTTGCCTGTCGGGCCCCATACGCGACCGTCTGCAGTGGCAGCGCCGATACGAAAGATGCGTTGACGGTCAAAGGACCATGGGTACTCGACTTCTGTGATAGCGCCAGTGTCGGCTGCGGCGCAGAAGAGGAGGATTCCTGCGTCTAGTGCGTCCTTGATAGCTTGGCGGAAAGTGTTGACGCCGTCACGATTCTCGAGTGTTTCTTTGACAGTCCAAGACATGGAAATGATGTCCACCTTCTGGTCTATCGCTGCTCTGACAGCCTGTTTCATGTTAGTTACAATGCAAGAAACCATATCACCGAGCCGAGTCTTACCAGAGCCGCGCTTTCTGCCGCAATGTACTCCTTGCCATGAGTCTGTGTCGCCAAGTTGAGACTCGTCTGTGTCTCAAGCTTGTACACATACAACCTCGCCATCGGACAGACCCGGCAAATCATATCTGCCATGACTGTTCCATGGCCCTTGGTAGACCTATAGTAAGGGCTTGGACCGTTCTCATGAGGAAAGCCCCTGCTGAATGTCTCTCCGCCCCAGATCTTGCCCCGAAGAGACTCAACATATGGGTCAGCACCATCGTCGATGAGGGCGACCTTAATGCCATTTTGAGGCTTGACAAACTCGGAGCACGTGTTTTGTAGTTCGTCTGCAAACTTGTCCATACAGTTTAGCCATCTGTTAGACTGGAGACTCATCTCATTGATGCCGCTTTGAGCCTTCGATGCGCCCTCTCGGACAATGCGTTCACTGCCCGGAACGTCTGCCTTGCACCTAAAGACGAGTATACGTCTTACTTGCTCAGCGTCGTCTCCGTCGGTTGAAACAACTCTTTTTGGGTTTGCAGCTGCTGACTCGTTCAATCGCTCCTCAAAGTCATTGGCGTACATGGTGATGCGATCGGCTGACTCCAACGCCTGTCATAATGTCAAACTTCAGTACAATCTTCGCGTCAAATCTCCAAATAGCACATACCTGATCTTCGCTGTATACTAAATGTACCGCCTCTAGGTTTTCTAACTTCGCCAGCCCTTCAGGCTCGCTCCAAGCCCGTAAGATCGCCCTATTACCGCTCCATCGAAGATAAAGCTGTCTCACATTTCGGCAAGCAGTCAAGATAGTCTCCGGACACAGATCAACTTTAGTCCAGTCGAGAATCTCAACCTCGAATGGCCTTAGACAATCCTCGAGTGCCTTGTCGCTGTGCGATGGGTCTTTCAAGTCATCCACCATTACTTTAAGGATATGCTTGACTCCTTTCCCCTTGAGCCAGTTGAAGAAAACAGTCAAGTCATCCCTACCGCGCCCTTTATTTGACGTCTGCCCTCGGTTCCTGGTTAGCCTTGCTTTTACAGCTGATACTGGAGGCTTCTGCAGCTCGATTCTTCGGAATGAAACATAGCGTAGGACTTGATCAAAGTTGATGTGATCGTAACTTTGCTTGAAGGAATCCTCATAGATCTCTGGTGGTGCTTCAGAGTAGTCGAAGCACAGGTTAATGTCTGAGATCAAGGTTAGTATATGCCAGAGCTATTGAGAACTCTATCTCACTGTTTAGATTCGCTCCATGGAGAAACTTGACAGCTTTGAGCTGGTCTCTACTCGCAGGCTTTGAATTGATCGTCAGAGTAGTCCGAAGATAGTGTAGTTTGACTGCCTGGCGGATCTTCTCTGCATATTCGGTCTTGCGTTTCTCTTCCTGGGCCTGCTTCACAAGTTGGTCATCTATATTCGTTTGTCGTCTCTGTAAAGGCTTGAAGCCCTCAGGTATTTCGATAGGTGAGTTTCTGTTCACGGCTGCATGGCGCGCACTTTCACTAGAAGTGCGAACTTCTGTCTGCTCTGATCTTGGTGCATGAGGGTTATCAGGCGCTCGATGTAGCCCTCCGTGGCCGTCTTTGCCTTGTTGAGAGATGCGGCTTCCCCCACCGACATGCTCCAGCCCCCCTTTGGGCCTTGCTCCGGCGTGTTCGCTCTCTTGGCCTTGTGGCTCGTCCCTTGATTCGTCCTGCTTTCTTTCCCCAGCACGAGCGGAAAGCGGTACTTCGAATTGTTTCCGCCAGAGACGCTGTGTATAGTCTTGGTATTCATATACGGATAGGTTTTGAGGCTCTTTGGTATACTCATCCAATGCACTGTCCCCATGATCAAGGAGTGCCTCGACAATCCTCAACTGTCCTTCTGATGCATACTTATAATCGACAGCCAAATGAAGAGGGGTCAGGCCACTTTGATCTTGGGCTCTTAGTGTCTCTTCGGATGCTCGTTTGACCAATTTTATGGTATACTGGGGTTGGAGGTTGTGATAGATCGCCGTGTGAATACAGTTCCTCCTATGCTCGCAAGTAATGCGGAGCAGTGAATCAAGGTCATCGATCGCCTTCTTCTCATCCAGGACCACTTCGATAAACGCATGGTTCTTTTTGGCGATGGCGATATGCAGAGGAGTCTTGCTTGAGTCGTCCACGCGGTTCAGCAAAGTCTTGTCGAATTTGATAACACAGCGAGTCAATGATTTGTGTCCCACCGTGTTGGCAATCATGTGGAGGAGTGTCTGGTTTGAGTCTTTTGTCGATCTGGAGAGAAAATGCCCATACTTTTGTAGGAAGCTCTCGCGGCTTTCTCTCTTGCCCAAGTTCAGCTTCTTATTGCGAGCCTCATTCGTGATGCTCTCAAAGGCGAAAAGCACTTCATCGTGGTTGGGGATTTTGGCGGGCTCCTCCTCAACATCGTCGTTCTCGTAGTCTTCATCGTCATCATCGCTAACGACGCCTTTGACGTCTGTTTTAAATGCCACTTTTGTCATCGTTCTTGATGTCAACTCTATTCGGGCTGTAATTTTCTCAGCTCATGTTCTACATTTCAAAGCTCTACAGTCGTTTATCTGCCGGTCTGCTTACCTACAGTGGACTATGGCAGCCTGCAGCTAAATGAGACACGTCATTTATTAGCCGCTCACCGGGCTCAGGGATATGCATAAGTGAGCAGGGGTCCAAGAACCCCCCATTTTCCAGAGCATGTACCTCTTATGTATCTGATCAGAGTGTCGCAAAGACGCCCCCCATTTCTTGGACACAAACGTCCGACTTTTCTTCATTGCTCACCTATCACCAAAGGCCTAGATTAGGGCTTCCGGCTAGGGCTAGATTGAGTATCGTCACGAAATAAATGCCTTTTGGTTAGTGTAGTTAGCCTACGTGCAAAGTATAGGCATGGTTTCTGCTATGGTCCATCGTGCATGATCTCGCGTTGCTTACCATCAACGCTTACAACATGAGTGCTGACCCTGATTACGACGTGGATACCGAGGAAGATATTTCCTTTGGCATCTCGCTTACCCCAAAAGGAGAAGAAGGGAATGAATTCCATACGCAAAATGATCCGCTAGATCCCTACCAGCGCGAGAACATCATTGAACGCAAAGGCGCCGTGGACATTCGATGCTCCAGTGTCGACATTGTTCACGGCCTATTTGATCCCGATGGCGATGATCTGTGTACTCTGATTGTTCTCGACTTTCGATTTGACCCAAGAAAACGAGCGCGGCGCATCGCACATGTCGATATTGAGCTGAGGTTTTCCTCCAGTGACAGAGGAGTAGTCGATCCTCAGGTTTTTGCCATCGCGCCAAACGGCAACTTGAAATTCGCTCAGACGACACAGACAGAGACAAAAACTACTGGAGGCGATGTGACCATCGGAGCTGGCGCCGCTGGAGTGCAAGTAGGCAGCGGCCTGAAGTATGAGCGTGAAATTGCAAGAGAGATGAGCTACGCTGGGTCCGTCACAGGCTCCATCGATTTACGCGGAAGAAACTATGGCAAGCCAAACTGCGCGTCTTGGACACTGCTGGAGAACCCTGAGACAAAGACTGGTGTGCCTGTCTCCATGCGAACCGCCATCCTGCTCAAGAGAAGAGACGAGGGACGTTTCCAGTGCGTGGTGACAGTCAATGCCAAAGCCGACTGGAGAACGTCTATGGAATGGCTCGTCGGCACCACGAAACGTGATGATCCGGTACTACTTGACCCGACGCTGGCTCCGACGAGCGATAGGTACAAGGGCATGGAGATGAAGCTTGGGGAACTAGATCTAAACACTATCTGCGATATCACCTCGGCCAACATTATTGAGAACTCTGTTAAGCAAATTAAGATAGGTAGTCATAGCTCCTGAATCGAATTAACCCTCTGATTGACTCGAATATCACAGACAGCACACAGGTTACGCAAAGCTTGATCCAAAGGTACATCTCAGGTACCAACGGAATCAGGCACTGGCAACTTTTTGCGAGCATCCTTGACGGAGCTTTGACCCAAAGTGGATATTAGCTTGTTCGCTTGATTATAGCTTAATCCTGCTCGAAAGTCTGTGGTGGAAGAATCTCTGATTTGTTCATAAATCGGAACGATAACTCCATCTAGGAGCCCAGCCTCCACATTGACAAGGATTACCCAGCCTCCCAAGGCTCTCTATGCTTATCTATAGGTCGATTTTCGAGAACTCTTGCCAGTTGTCTTTCAGCTCATGCAGACCGTGAGCAGCCCTCGGGGACCTGGAAAACTTAGGGCCCTATATCATAGGTGACAAAAACATTGAGGAAGACTTCGTATAACATGGGATTGGCTATTTCTGTCACTGTGGATGAAAACCCCTCAATATCCCGGCCACCGGAAGGTTCAGTATCACAAAGTTCGATACGAGGGGGCAACGATTATAGGCTCGCATGATCCGTGGCCGGTCATTCCATTTCGCGGTAACTGAGTCAGCATTTGACAATACTGCTCCTCATGATGACTAGGACCCTATCATCTTCCAGTCTCTAGGAACTAGCATACAGTGTATCAGCATCGTACGCATCTGCCGAAGTCACCATGGAACAGGCAGAATCGTCGCTATATGCTATGGAGACATCTAGCAATACCGTGGACAACGAGTCTCCATCCGCTGACCCAAGTCTCTTGATCGATACAACCGAAGGATTTGAGGCAAGCGAGAGGAAATTCGAGTAAGATAAGCTTACATCCTTTCACAAGCAAGAATTCTGACAGAACTTGCCATAGTATTGTAGCAATCCACGGCCTCTGTGGCAAGCAATGGAGTTCAAGCAAGAGCAACACCTGGCTTCGGGACTTAGCGGCCTATATGAACTGGGAAGTGCGAATCATTCGGTATGCCTATGATGCCGCAAAATTAGCAGAGGCTCCATATCCCGAGGAGGCGATTTCGTCTGAGGCCTCTACGCTTCTTCAAAAGCTTAGTGAGCTGAGGAGAGACCAGCAACCTGTTAGTGCACTTGATGAATTCTATAATCAAACGATAACCAACACGAACTCTTTAGCCGTTACCACTAGCCTTATTCGCTCATGACATAGGAGGAATCATCGCCAAAAAGGTTGGTTGAGATGCAACCCATCTCGTTGTGCTCGTGCTGACATGATATCAGGCTTTGATACTCGCTAGCCGATATGACAGTGAACATAGCGATATTAGCTACTCAACAAAACTTCTGGTATGGAACTCAAAAGCCGAAGTTTATATGACCTATCATTAATCGACTGCAGATGTTCTTCGGCTGTCCACACAGGACCCTAGATACACATCAAGATATCGAGATTCTTGCTAGCAGGCTTGAAATGTTGAAACCGGCAGACTCAATAGTGACTAGGCTTAACAGAAAATGTCTCGCGAGGTCAATCATTGACGTGAACGACTCTTTCCTCAATACCAGAGTCCTGACACGCGCCAACGTTATCAATATCATTTCATCGAAAACAGATGCCACTGAAAGGGTGAGTTGGAAGGTAGGTTGATGTTGCATTGATAATACTGATTGGCCTACAGGTCTTTGACAAATACACCGCAGCACTTGGAGTTCCAATGGAGAAGGTTTCACTCATTGACAAGTCTCACAAAGAGTTGATTGATGAGCCAGAAGCGTATGCCCCGTACGGGGGCTTTCAAACCAAGAGGATTTCATCCTGTAAGTCGACACGCAGTGAAACATCAACTAGAGCAAACATTCTGATTTCTATTCCAGTTCCTTGGCAGGACGATAAGCTATCCCATGTTATGAGAGCCATAATGCACCAGGCACCTCCAATGTATCCATTCAAGTTCAACACAACCCGTGGATTCGTTTGGATTTCTGAGCACGATACCATGGTTAAATGGCTGAAGTCTTGGGGCCTTGGTCTTCTGCACATCCACGGCACGTCTGCTATATCTAACGTGGCTCAGCATGTGTATGAAGGGATCATAGATCGTGGAAAGAGCTCGACCTTCCGAGCGATTCTCTACTTCAAATTCGACAAGCACGATATCCGCCGGAATTCTATTGGGGCCATGGCAAACTCCTTCTTGCTCCAGACTCTCAGTCAGATAAGAGAGTCCCCTAACGATAGGATGCCGGACATAGAACCGCCAGACTTTTCAGATTGTTGGACTGATAAAGACGCCTTCTTCTTTTTGGAAAAGCTTATGAAGGATATAACAACCCATGGCGAAGTTCACTGGATCATTGATGAGCTCGATCAGTGTGACGACAGCAGTGCTTTGTTCTTGTCGATGGTCTCTGATATGGCCAAGAACTCTGAGCAGCATTTCAAGATCTTGGTGACAACCGTTGATGACAGTCAGATCCGCGAGGCTCTATCAGAGTTTCCTTCAATCGACTTAAGAGAACACCCACCGACAGCTGAAGTTATGGAGAGCATTGTGCTCGAATTTATGGCTGAGCTGTGCCACGCCCGGCCGCAGTATCGCCACGTTGAGCAGGAAATACGACAATTATTGGATTCCTGTAGTGACGATGACTTGCTGCGCCGCCTCCTACTCGAATGGCTGCTGGTAGCTCCTTGTGCGTCGACGAAGTCAGCTGTAGAGCGGGAGATCGCATTTCTTACACCTCTTTCACCTGTCAAGATATTCGAACGATGCTTGAATGCAGTTCCTGAAGGCTCGCGTCCATGGGCTCGAAGAGTCTTGATGTGGATGTCACTATCATTTCGACCGTTGACTCCTGAAGAACTGGGAAGTGCACTCAGCCTCGATACCTCAACAGACCCGGTGCCAGAGCAGGAGACATATGGTGATTTAATGTGGGATATTGAAAACTGCTTTGGGCCTATCATAACCCGAGAGAATGGACACGTTCAGTTTCGCCATCCAACTGTTCGGGACTTCTTGACGACTATCAGTGACGCTTCCGACCAAGAACGGCCTTGGTACGCTTGGAATTCTTCGGAAGAAGGCCATCGAAATATCACCGACGCTTGCGTTGGATATCTCAACTTACCTTCAACCCAAGACAAGATTCTAGCAGCTTGCCAAACATGCCCTGTTGACCAACGATTATTCGAAAGCCCGTCAGATATTACCTCGTATGCTGTCGAATTCTGGCCACTGCACTATCAGCGAGGTCACTCTTCAGCATTTCTTAAGCCACAACATTCCAGCATCGCCAGCTTCTTCAGCGATGATACGGCACTCAAGCGTTGGGATGCAGCCAGATGGTACCTTTCAAATCCTCACATCAGATCGGACTGGCTTTCTTTCTCGCATCTTCCAGTAATTGCATCTATAGGTGACGAAAGCTCGGTTCAAACCTGGATTCAGTCTCAAGAACCTGACGGACGCGATATTTCCCTGGCACTTATCGAGGCATCGAGATTCGGACATAGCGATGTTGTCAAGTTTCTTCTCCAGAAGTCAAGCACAAATGCAGATGTCTGTCTCGAAGCTATAATGGTCGCAGCACGATCGGCAGAACTGGAAACTCTGCGCATCCTGTTGGCGCATGTCATTGGAATTCTGCACATAACCCAGTGGCCTGGCAGTCTTACCTCGAGGTTTGCCTATCTCGGTTTCGTCGAGCACTTAACGTTCATCTTACAAGCTGGAGCGGACGCGAACTCGTCTGACCCTGATTTCTCGCCACCTCTCCACTGCGCCATCGTCAGAGACGAGACTGCAGCTTTTGACACCCTCATAGAGCATGGAGCTGACCCCGCTGCAATCAAATCCAACTGGGTAGACACGCCGCCCATAGTGGTAGCTGGCAAGTATGGCCGAGCGAAGATCATCGACAGGCTGGCCAAAGCAGCACTCATCGATGCACAGGATAATAAGGGCAGGAACGCTCTATGGTATGCGGGAGGTAGAGGTCATCACGCGGTGTTTCAGGCACTCGTCAAGGCTGGGGCGAACACAGAAACCCTCACTGCATGGGTGAGGGATCTTCGACCTGCCCTGATTCCCATCGCAGGGCTTCCCTACCCAAAGTGCCTCAAGTCAGTACTTGATGCTGGCGTGGATATCAATGCAAAGTTGAGAGAAGCTCACTCATTCCATGCCTTGGGCATAGCAGCACGAGCTGGTCACGTCGAAATTTGCCGTATGCTGCTTGACCACGGCACGTGTAAAGAGTTCGATGACGATTCTGCCCTTATCCATGCTACAAGAGCGAATAACATTGAGATTGTGAATATGCTACTGGAGGAGGGTTACAAAGTCGATGTGCAGCTGGACGATTCCCCTTATCACGGTACACCTCTCGTGGCGGCTGCTAGAGCAGGCTATCATGACATAGTCACAGTCCTCCTGGAGAAAGGAGCCAGTGTCAACTACTCTGCTCCCAGAAAGATCACGCCTTTGATGTCCGCTGTCCTGGCAAGTCAGGCTACAATAACCAAGAAGTTCATTGATGCTGGAGCGGATATGGATGTTGTTGGGGGAGCTACCTATAATTGGAGCGCAACACACTTTGCTTACAATAGGCTAGACTGCATGAAGGTTCTTGTGGACGCTGGGGCTGATATCAATTCGATTGGACCCGATGGCTCGCCGTTCTATCTCGCTGCGTATTTTAACTCGACAAAGGTGGTTGAGCTGCTCCTTGAACACAAACCAGACCTTGAGACCAGGTGCCCAGAGGGAGACTTTACGGATGCAGGCTATACGGCACTTCATTGTGCAGCATATTACGGATATAATGAATTGCTTCGGCTATTGTTGGAAGCGGGTGCAGATATTGAGGCGAAAACACTAAAAGATGGAACGCCTCTGATCCTAGCCGTGGCTACCAATAATGAAGAGAGTGTCAAGATCCTGCTGGAGTACAAGCTGGACATAGACGCTGTCGATGTATTCGGAGGCACTGCAATTTTTTGTCTTCCCAATCCTGCAAATTTATCAGTCGTCAGACGCCTGATAAACCGCGGTGCCAATCTGACACTCCGGAACAAGGAAAAGTATACCCCCCTAGGACGAGCCGTAGTGAACGGAGACCTCCCATTGGCAATAATGCTCTCTTCTGAGAAGATCGACTTGAACGCGGAGGCTGCTGAGAATGGGACAGCTCTGCACATCGCAACAGAGGAGTGCAATATTGACATGGTCAAAGTGCTTACTGAGAAGGGCGCGAGCCCTGATATCGCCAATTCCTGGATGTACGGCTCGGCTCTACAAAGATTGTTTGAGAAATACGATACTTCTACAGAGAACAAGGATGTAATTGCTCGGTATCTAATTAATGACGCTGGCGCCGACGTCAATGTTCATGGTGGTAACTTGGGATCAGTCCTGAACGCCGCAATCCTGAGTGGCTCCCTAGACACGATCAAGTTCATTCTCGAGAAAGGTGCTGATATTGATTGGCGAGACCTCCAGGGGCGGCGACCGATACACTATGCAGCTTTGAAGAGTGCTGAGCACTTCAGACTACTGCTCGAGGCAAGTGGCGATGATGAAGAGCGTCTTGGCATCACTACCAAGACCAAGTATGGCATGACAGTGCTTCATCTTGCTGTAGCAACGGGAAGATCTGATCTTGTCGAGTTGGTGCTCTCCCATACAAGCGGGACGATATCTATTGACGAGCCTGACGATGATGGCTGGACGCCTCTGCTCTGGGCATGTCGCTTCTGTGAGGAGTGGGGCACGCCCAAAGAAATCAGTCCTGAGATCGTGAAGCTTCTCCTAGATCGTGGAGCAGACCCGTCAGTTCGAGGTCGGACCTCAGATGATAGAGAATGGTCGCCACTCAAGATGGCCAGATTCCATGGCGCATCACAAGAAGTGATAGATTTGTTGACGGCAAGCCCTAGTAAGAGAAAGGAGGACGACTGGAAGTCCAAGTTCCATGTTTCCAAGAAGGCAGCGCGAACTACATGGTATTGCGACTTGTGCCTTTTTGTAAGTTTCCCTCGACGTCACTATACCCAGTTCACTAACCTTATCAGCACGTCTATGGCACCGTGTACTACTGTGAGGTCTGCGGGCTCTCGTATGGGTTGTGTTTCAAGTGCTATCGTTATAGAGAGGAATTCCATCCGTATCACGATAAGTGGGAAGAGCGAGGTCCAGAATTTGTTGACGATGATGAAGAGGAGGGAGAGGAGAAGGAGGAAGAAGAAGAGGGCGAACCAAGGAGTTCACCAGGTATTGAGCAGGTCCAGGATGATGATTCCGAGGGAGACTGGTCGAATGATGAAGCTGAGGGAGAGGGTAAATAAAGTTGAATGAACCTTGATCAGTATAATCACGGCTATAGTTCACTTAGAACAGGCATCGACTTGGGTGCTGAAGCAGCATTACTTTTTGATGAATGCCCCCCAGAAAATGCAACCATTCTGGCAACAGAGCATCTTCATCTCAAGATGACCAGCCCTCGAAGAGCAAGGAAAGGTCTAACCTATGCTTAGTCTAACCTAAGTTTAGGGTACCAGAATTACCTCGTCTAAAGATGAGACAATTTTATGCTAAGTTTATCTAAGTTTACCTAAGCTTCTTTGTCACCTTGAAATAGGAGTACTGTCTTGATTTTCGACTGCTCTGACCACGTGGCGTTGAACGGCTTCTATATTAAAGAGAGATTTGTAGTCAACCTTCAATCTCGAGTAGACTGTCTATAACAGGAAAAACTCTGAAGGACAAAATTTAGTTCCTCCAGCATGAATTGACAAACAGGATGCATAGGGTAGATAGCCAGTTCAGGATTGATAATGAAACCAGAGATAAATCACATCAGTGACATCAGAATAAGAATAAGAAATGCTTGAGAAGGGTTAGCAGGTTAGTACAATAGAGGCTCATACAATTATCTCGGCACAACTCCCAGGGCGCCTCAATGTCAATTGTATCTCCAGTAAGTTTGAGCGTCGAAGATTATTTCCATCCCCTACAAAAGAAAGATCAACACCAAAGTGTCATAGCGGTGATTTGAAGAACTTTTGATACGTCTCGTATAGTACTGCACCTGACAATATAGTATAAATAACCTCTCGTCTATCAGCAACTACCGTGATTATGCTTGGCTATCATAAAGTTAATTATAGAACTTAGCTACGAGCCGTCCCAGCAAACTCTATGTCATCCAAGGGGGAGATATGCTATACGATTCAACTAGTGGAAATCCAGCATTGAACTACCGAGTCAAGATAGACACTAGCATAGCATTGCCTTACAATAGTTCCTAGCATTCCAGTCAAAGCGTAGATCATCAGGTCGAAGCGATCTTCCAGAACTTCCTAGTGGAGATCGGCATTGCCTTGCCGACATCTAAAATTAGTCGTGCGGTCTAGCCTTGACGGGTAAATTGCAAATTTCAGGGGATCTGCATTGAAATCAAGCCAACACCATTGGCCAGTTTGTTTACGAGCCCTGGAATTTTGGGGCACTCCACTTGGGTAGGGCTCGTTCAGACTCGTTCGAGCTCGTATCTCCCGCTGTCTCGACCTGGGTCCTAGTCATGCGGAATGCCCGACGGACTTCCTAGGCTGAATTTATGCATAGGTTTACACTATTTGGGAACCAGGTTCTCGTATTCTCTAATTCTGCTCCATAAGTGAAACATCGTCTGCTGGGTTGCTGCGCTTTGACAATGAAGGGAAATGTAGTATAAGATGGCGAGAGACAGGTTGCCATTTGTTTTGTAGCACGCCAATACATTCGTTCAATTCTGCCCATCATGAAAGGTTCAACTACCCTCGCTTTTGCGCTCATTCAATTCAGTGCTGCTTCGCAGCTGGTGTGGCCCTCAAAATGGGATGAGGTTGAAGATCTTCTGTACATGCAGGGAGGATACAACAAGAGAGGTCTCGCTGATGGTCAGAAACCCGTTATACATTTCACCGTCTCAAGCCAACACTGACAATTCCCAGCGCTAAGAACTTGCACGTTCGGAAGCAATAATCCTGGACAACAAAACACCGCCGAATGGCTCCGAACAGCCTTCCACGATGTCATCACACATGACGCCAAAGCCGGAACAGGCGGCCTGGATGCTTCAATCTACTGGGAGTCTTCTCGACCTGAGAACCCCGGCCTGGCCTTCAACAACACCTTCAGCTTCTTCCACGGCTTCTACAATCCGCGCGCCAGCGCTTCTGACCTCACAGCCCTCGGCACAGTGCTCGCCGTTGGAGCTTGCGAGGGTCCCAACATTCCTTTCCGTGCTGGTCGAGTCGATGCTTTCAAGGCTGGTCCATCGGGTGTCCCTGAGCCTTCGACCAACTTGAAGGATACCTTCTCTGCCTTCACCAAGGCCGGCTTCACTAAGGAGGACATGACTGCTATGGTTGCTTGCGGTCATGCTATCGGCGGCGTGCACAGCGTTGACTTTCCCGAGATCGTCGAGATCAAGGCTGATCCCAACAATGATACTTCCGTGCCCTTCCAGAAGGACATTTCTTCTTTCCATAACGGCATTGTCACTGAATACTTGGCCGGCACGTCCAAGAACCCTCTGGTTGCTGCAAAGAACGCGACCTTCCGTTCTGATAAGAGAATCTTCGATAACGACAAGGCTACCATGAAGAAGCTCGCGACCAAGGCTGGCTTCAACAGCATGTGTGCTGATATCCTCACCCGCATGATCGATACCGTCCCCAAGAGTGTGCAGCTCACCCCCGTCCTCGAGGCTTACGATGTCCGCCCTTACATCACCGAATTGTCCCTTAACAGTAAGGGAAAGATTCATTGGACGGGCTCAGTCAGAGTCAAACTCACGAACAACATTCGTAGCAACAATGACCTCGCTATCAACCTCATCTACGCTGGTCGAGACGGCAAGAAGGTCACTGTACCCACGCAGCAGGTGACTTTCCAGGGTGGTACTTCTAACGGTGCCGGTCAGATCTTTGCGAACTTCGAGTACGATACCACCATTGACGCCAAGAATGGTATCACCAAGTTCTGGATCCAGGAGGTCAAGCCCTCCACCAAGGCGACCGTCACCCACGATAACCAGAAGACCGGCGGTTACAAGGTCGATGACACTGTCCTCTATCAGCTTCAGCAGTCCTGCGCCGTGCTTGAGTCGCTCCCCAACGCACCTCTCGTCGTCACAGCCATGGTTCGCGACGCCCGTGCCAAGGACCCCTTGACCCTCCGCGTCGCCCATAAGAAGCCCGTCAAGGGCTCCATCGTTCCCAAGTTCCAGACTGAGATCACCAACTTCAAGGCTACTGGCAAGAAATCCGCCGGCTTCACTGCGTTCCAGGCCAAGACCGAGTTCGAGGAGCAGAGCACTTACTTTGACATCGTCTTGGGAGGCAAGCCTGCTTCGGGTGTTCAGTTCCTTTCTTCGCAGGCTATGCCTGATAAGTGTCCATAAGCGTATCATCATGTAATATTTAGACATAGACTTGCATTTGGGATTAGCATAGCGAATCGAGACTTCATTATGAATTGACTTAATTACTTGCACTTGGCGTTGTCTTCATGCATAATTATTAATTGATATCAATCAAGTAACATCATAAGAGACACAAGCATCCTCGACCCTCCAACGTAGTGTGAGAAATGGCGGCTTGATCAGGGTATGACTGATCTACAAACGCGCTCGTGGCGAGAAATAGCCCTGCTTTTGGAGCAAAGAAACCACCTCGTCTGCGATGCCCCATGATAGCTCAAGACCTCTACCACCAACACCATACGCATGCACAACGACACCTGGCTTGAGACGTTCCAGTTCCAGGCGAAGGCCGCCTTCACGCGCTGGCCGACGACCAACAATGTCCCTGACAACATCGAAGCGATCGATCTCCTTAGTTTTAACAGATACAGGACCTTCGCTGTTGAAAGGGAACCACTCCACTGCATTGGACAACAGAGTATGCCTTGTCTCAGCTGAAGGATAAGGGTTCCAATTATAGGGTTCTTTGGTCCCTCCAATGATAGTCCCGCCTTCTAAAGGTCGAGGAATAGCGAATGACCAAGACCCATCCGAGTTCTGGCGTGTTATGGTCTTGGAAATTGGATTTCGTACAAGACATGTCTGGCCTGAAATACGTCAGTGATAGAATCGCCGTCGCTCCAGTTTCTTGTCACTTACCACGGATGGGGAATACTTTCGGATCGCCGAAGCCCATGCCCGAGCAGTTGATCACAACAGACACAGAAGATTCAATCGAGAAAACCTCTTCTAGTGATGCAAGCGTGTACTGCCTCACACGACCCCCTCTATTCTGAAATCTGCGCTGCAAGAATGAAGCATACAAAGGACTGTTGAGAGAATATGTCCGGTAACGAAAACCTAGTCGCAGTGAGTCACCCATAGCGCTCAACTCACTGCTGCTGAATAACTCAAAGCTCGATTCAAGGTGAGCATAGACCGATTTTGATACATCCTTCGTGGCATCGACATATTCAGGTACTGGGTTTTCGAAGAACTCTTCTCCTGGCATGAATTCAACACCAGCAGCGAGTTTGTCTTTCTCAGACCAACTGTCAAAGGTATCATATGTTTTCTTCGCCCATGCCGCTTCTTGGAGGAGCTGGGGAGTGTTCCCTGGGCATGGTCGATAATGTGCGCCAGCCCATGGTGTAGCGTAGTTTATGGACGTCTCGTTAGGGAAGTCTCGTGTGATGATGACGATGGATTGTGGGTTTTTCTGTGAAAGAGTTTGCTCTTGGACGCGAAGGGCTGTGGAGAGTCCTATGACACCAGCGCTATGGGTTGCAGTTAGTCGTTGTTCTCAGCGGATTGATTGTTGAAGAGGAAAGCAATAGCTTCCAAGTCTAGCACAGTATTCGACGCACCCGACGATAACAATAGTTTCACCTTGACGAGGCATTCTGCACGAGCAGAAGTAGAAAATTGTTGGAATGAGTACACAAAGGTTATTTGAGTCAGGATGGAATACTTGGAGGACGAGCTAGTGATTGCTTTTATAGAAAGAGGAAATTGTTGCAGGTTTATTCTCTCAGGTCGGGAGAAGCCGGTAGTATAACTTACTCGTATGAGGCGTCTTATCGGCCTTTCCAGGGTTCTCGTCATGGTTCTCAGTAAATATTACATTTTCTGTCAGATTTCCACTGCATTCCCATCAATTGCCGAAGCCATTTCAAGGACGCCACTTGGTAGTCAAAACGAGTGCATCTGAAGCGATGGAGGGAGGTGTCCGTCGAGACTTGATTGGGCATTGACTTGCATTAGTCTCACGGAGATCCACCTCCATTCTTCTTTTGCGGTGGAGACTGCGGGGGTCCATCCATGGATTCATCGTGACATTTTGTTGGGCAAATGCATCCAAAGTTGAATTTCCAGGATACACTCAAAGGAAATACCTCTCTGAACTCTCTCCGGACATCGGAGACTTATCTACCTAGTAGGCTATAAGTAACCATTTATATCTCTGGCATGGGTTGAACTGGGCCAACCTTCAACAGATACCGTTCTATCTTAGATTACCGGGTTTAAGACATAGGCCTTTTTGCACTTATATCATTCATCATGTCTCTCCGAACCGGTGTCCTAACTACTGATGCACCTGCCCCCAGTCCTCATCTGTCGCAGGCAATTATCCATAATGGTACAGTCTACTGCTCAGGCTCGTTCGGTATGGATCCCCAGACTCGACAACTGGCTGAGGGGCCCTACCATCAAACCGTATGTCCCCTTTATATCCTCCGAGATAGTAGCGTATTCTGTGCCCTAACACTCAGAATAGGCGGGTGCTCTCAAGAATCTCGACGCTATTCTCACCAAAGCGGGAACAAGTCTTCACAATGCTTTGAAAGTCACCATCTTTATATTGGACATGGACCACTATGCTGAGGTCAACAAAGCATATCTCGAGTTTTTCACTTCTGATCCTAAGCCAGTAAGTTACATCCTTGCCTCAAATGTCGACATATCACTGATAATGACCCTAAGAGTCGAACATGCGTCGCCGTTGCTCAACTTCCCCTAAAGGGCGCTCATGTGGAGATGGAAGCTATCGCTGCTATTCCTGAGAAGTCTAGCAAGCTTTGATAATCCCAGTTTTGCTTATCTAACAAATCAATAGGAGACTGATTACATTTATCTTTTGACACCTGGTTACTGTAATGATAGAAAATGCGAGACTTCTTTGACAAGCCATGATAGGTTACTTCAGTAAATTAGTAGGCTGAATATAGCACTAGAAGAATCAAGACGTGAAACAAGCGATGTCCTCTTGTAATACTGGAGAAAGACTGTGTTGGTGTCTTCCAGGCGTGGTCAGGCCTTGTGATAACAATTGACCATAAATTATCCTTAGTCTCCTCAAATTCCTCACCCTGCTCGCCAATGGCGAGCAACTGACCCTGTGATCTGAGACGTATCCGCGAAGCTTACCTGGAACACCGATAAGAGCAGCGACCTGGAATGGTAACCTAAGTAATGGGGTCGTCATTGAGTCCACTTCGGTAGGAAATCTCGAAGCGGAGAGACACTGATCGGCTTCACTTTATTTAGACTTCTAAACATACCGAAGCGCCCTTTGCAGCTACAAGATAGTGGGAATAATAATAGTCAGCCACAAAGCCTAGGTGCCGAACGGAGGCACACCTCCGTTGAACCCCTAGTATTGCACGACTCTCCATGAAAAGCCTCACGGCCTCGCTTCGCGATATGGCCAATAGCGTTTCATGAATTCGAAGACTGACCAGAGTCGATGCGAGATACCCCATGATCCATGACCCCCGTCCGGGGCCCCATACCTGTAGATATTCTCTAGATCCGTCGTCGCTCGTTATGCTGCATCGTTCTTGTACATCTGCGGCTGCTTTGGAGCAAACGCGGCTTTACACAGCTGAGCTGCGTCTTCAGTTGGTCAGACACCGACGAAGAAGGCTTGTGCAGCGGCTATCACCAATGTTACCGGTCAGCTTGGAACTATCTGGAGCCCTTACTTCTTCGACTCGGATGATGAGCCAAGGTATACTAGGGCGATGATTCTTCTTTTGGCGTTTGCTTCTTGGTGAAGTTTACTCTTCGAAGGGCTAACAAGAAAAATATTGCTGAGTACGAAGGAACCGGAAGAATCCCGACACTATTCACTCTTTAATCTTCTCGAATATGCTCAGACTAGATATAGTTTTAGGTCAGATATACAGGCAGTATCCGATTCGTCTTCAATGGATAGGCTTTTGATATATGATTCACAGTCCATGCATAGATTTATGATAATTTGCGGTGTAGACTTGCCTGAGACTGAAATATTACCACATTGGGAAATATTTGACTTGTCGGATCGCGCGCGGCGCCGGTTTCCAATGTCGCGGAGCCGCAGGAATAGAGTTCACTAGCAATATACGCAAAGTGGATTTTGCATGTCGGCTTGTGCCCGAAGCTGTAAACAATTTTGCTGCTTACATGAACCATCTTAACAGGCTCGAGATTATAATCAATGATTTGATATGATAATTGCGACACCAACAGCGGACTGCGATGGATCGATAAAGATGTATAGGTAGATTTAGGTAAGATTTCGTAAAATTACCTAAAGTTAGGTAAAATATATGAATATCTTTCGTCCCATCTAGTTTCACTCTCACAACGGGCATCGGCCATGAGTCCTAAAATGTGGCGTTCCCTATTGAGTTAAAATTGCGGCTTTGCGGCATCTAATGCGGCGCATCGTGCAACTCCCAGCGGCTCGGATCCGAATCCTTGACATATCGAACAGGCAATCAACCTATCGCTACACAATAACCTCAGCACGCAATCGTTCCCCACGTTGTCGCAACAAAGGTCAGCGTAACAATCAAGTGCAAATCATCACGAAAAGGGCGATTCGTGAGTCAGTGCAATCAATTTAGAAGTATGGGGTTGATCTGATGTGATTTGATAGTGGTCTCATATCTAAGAACCTCCCAAGATAAAGCCAGGCAATTCCCGCATGCAGATCACTCGGTTGTATCCGCTCTTCAATCCAGTTCGTTATCTTTTCATCTGCAGATATGGGTGTCACAGAAGATTCAAAGGACCTTTCCAGGGTCCAAAGTCGGGAGAAGGAGGGAGAGACTGCTATTGTCTCTGAGAAATATGCTGATGTCACGCTTCGTCTCGTCGAAGATTATGGCGACCAGTTTGGGCCCTTGACGCCTGAGAAGGAGAAGAAGCTGCGAAGAAAGCTTTACTGGCACGTGATGGGACTCTTATCGGCGATCAATCTGCTTCTATTCGTATGTTCACCAGCGTCTCCCACGATGGATTTACTGACATATACAGATTGACAAGTCAACTCTCGGATATGCTGCAATTCTCGGTCTTTTCGAGGAAACAGGTATCAACAAGGCACAGTATAACAATTTGGGAACATTCTTCTATGTCGGTATGTTTCAGCCACTCTATCATCTCTTCAA